TTAAGAGACTTTGTGGTGTATTACGCTTTCACTGCCGTTATTTTTCTCCTGCCTCGTTGCGACACTTTATACAGTCGATGTAATGGCATAGGGAAGCTCAGCAGTCCACCCCACCCATTTTCTGATGTCGGTATTCGAATCAGAATACTCAAACACGGTATGTGGTGGTAGAATGAAAACGCGATGCCTTCCACTACTTACTTGTTGCCTCTTCCAGTGACTCGATTTTGCATTGTGTGTCTTAAGCAGCGCAGACAAAAAAGAGTATTTGCTTTGAATAAAGACTGTGTTTATTAATGTCAATGTGAGAGAAAAGAAGAACTCACTGACTGAAGAACCCAAAGGGTGAGTTGTTAAGGAAAATGCATAAACCAAAGCGTGCACATAGAAGCCGCATATGTGATGGAAGGTGAAATGATTCAACTGAAAGCTAGTTCCACTCTCCGCTGTGCGTGGTGATGTGCAGCTCCGAAAGGTGTCTGTGGAGCCCGACTGCCTCTTTGTTTACCTTTATCTCAGATTTGGCCTTCAATTCATCGGTGATTTGACCTCCCTCACCACTTTCCTCAACATTGCACCCTAGTGGAGGCACAGATAGACCTCGAAGCCGATGCTGTGAAGGAGGGAGCGTTTGCATTCCCTCAGCGCTGTGACATTCACGGGCAATGCTGATGAGTCGCCTCCGTTTGTCGTCATGCCCCACTGGAACAGGAGCAGGCATTACCTCTGAGGAGGCCATACAAGCCCGCATTTCCATCTCTTCATCGAGGCAGACGTTGGGTAGAATGGAGGAGATGTTAGTTGTTGTGTGACAGCTATTTCTCACCGACTTAGAGTCGCTGCGCTGGCGACGCTCACTTCGAAGTCTTAGCATGGCACTTAGGTTGAGGGGACTGAGGCCAATGTAGTCAATCTAGATGGGCGAAAAGTGTGTGATGCCATTGGCGGAGGAATCGCCTTCCACCCTAGCTAACTTACCCGTTTCAACTCGGCGTCTCGCATCAAATTCTCTAGTTCGTCTGTCCATTCCAGCAATGCGCACAATTCACGAATGAGTGTGCTTATGTCGCCTATAAATGAACAAATTCGCTGTAAAACAAACTACTCACTTACAGAATGACCTGTGTATCACTTTCACTACAAGCAATAATCACCAATTCAATTTTGCCACAGTGTGGTGGAAGGAGTGAAGTAGCCTACCAAGAGCAACGAAATCCTTGGGTCGGCGACGTGTTTTAAATGGTCCAACGATGTGCTTATTGAGGAGCACACGCGGTGTGTTGGATGGAGTGGCAACAATCAACCTGGAGAAGGGCTGCACCTCCAGAGAAGTGCCCATCACTATGATTAGATCCCCCTTTGGAATGTCGTCTCGGTAGCGCCAGAACTTGGCTGGAAGGTCCTCATTGTAGAAGACAATGTCAGGTTTCACTAATCCTCTGCAACGGTAACATCGTGCCACCTTCCCTCTATCAATTGCTGCCTACAATTTTTTTCATTCATTTTTATTAAGTATGTGGCTCTGTAGCACTTAAATAAGTGCACGTACCCTTCACTCATCTATTAATGAAAAAAGAAGGAAAAAAATCAAGTTATCAGTCGAAATGAGCTTTCACCAGATTGTTGTTATAGTGGTGGTAGTTCTGCATGAGGATTGCTCCTCCAAACACAATTAACCCTACATCACGCGATGGATAGCAACTTGATTTGTTTAGCTCCTCAGAGAGGGAGGGGAGGCAGTCTATTCGCAACAAAGTAAGGGCATTGTATGCTTTCTATTGTGCGAACCAAAAAGTGGCACCGAGAAAATGCCAACTATATAAGCAGTAGAGAAGCAAACCTTGACCATCCTCGCAGGAATGGATTTTTCGCATTTTAGACACTGCGCGGTGGCAAAGGTGCCGTGGGCCTCAACCAACTTGCTTGGCGGTACTCCAGCTACTGCAAATAAAGCCGAAACTGTTTACACCTCTCAAACGGTGTCCACCGCCTCCCAACGTCATTTGCAAGCAAATTACCTCTTTCGAGTCCATCAATATTTTGAGTGTACACACGCCTGAGTAGACGCTTCTGATTGAGGAGTCGAAAAAAGTAATGCGCTATGTTTGGCCGGTATTTTCCCGCAGGATACAATTCTTTGGCAAGAGTATAGAACGCTGAGGGTCGCATCTTAAAGTAGTTGATGTCGAATATTGCCTCTGGATAAGGTAGTTTGTATTTCTTGAGATTGGCATACAGCCCTGTTTTAGGAGATCTGAAAAGCAAGTGGTCATTAAATTACTCTCAAATTAAAAAAAGGCATCGTAGTTGAGAAAAAAGAAGACCTCAACATCTAGAGCTTCGACAGGCATCCAACGGCGGCTACAGACATTGCACACATACAGTTAGTAATAAATGCGACTCCGATGATTACTAGCAGCTGGAATTTAGGAGGCGGCATGGACACATTAATTCACATTTAAGCACTTGTACTTGACACTACTTTGATGAAGAAGAGAAATCTACAAAGCGTCAAACATAGCACCGAGCCAACGTACAAACAATCTCGAGTCATCATACGTACAATGCATTGACAGACAAAAAGTAAGAGAGCGCAAACTAATACTAATTGGCGTTACTTTGTGTGAGATGTACCTGAAATCAGGAATGCCACTGGCTGTGCTGATGCCCGCACCTGCCATTACGATTATGTCGTGAGCTTTTCCCTCCGAAATCAGATGCGCCACAATTTCCAACGCCCGTGGCATACTCGAAGGGGGAATTCAGTTCTACGAAGTAATTTAAGAGTTAGGTGCACAGGATGCACACGTAGATTATTTCAATGTAACAAATAGTCCACGCCATTTTAAAAAGCTGTACATTTAAGGTCGGCCGCAACTACTATTACCACCACCTATTCACCATATTAAAGTGAAATAAAACATACGATAATAGTGGAGGAGCTCAAATTCCGACGCTAGATGCTTTCGATTGTAGGAACGGGAACTGCGACTAATCACATTTTAAAACAGCTTAAAGTGTTAATGACCACTTCATGGCTAAGCTAAATGAGCGTCACAGTGATTATGATGAGATGAACTAGCGTATTTTCTAGAATTTGCCCACACGTAGAAAAGCATAACATATGGTGACCTTTCGGAGTTTCCTAATGCGCGCTTTCAGAGTTAGTAAATATTTTCCTCAATGCTAATAAACACCATGCTGTGTAATAACTATGGTTAGATATAATCAAAATTATTTGACTCAGAGTGATGTATAAATTCGAAGCGAAATTACTTGTTGAGAGCTGTAGCTGTGTTTGAGGCGTATGAAACTTACGCATTAAGCAGCTACAAATAACAATTAATTGGACTGAATTTCAAGCGACTTGCTCAGACGATACTGGAAAAAAATTAAAATACTTTAGTACTTTGGCATAGATTTAATAACGAGTTTTACCTTTCTTAAAAAATGTGCTTAAAATTCGACGAATAGCTTGAAAGTTATTTATTGATGGGACATAACGTTAGCATGTGATTTGATCCACATTCGGCTCTGAATGCTACAGGCACAGTTTTTTATGGCAGCGACTTTATTTTTTGACTTCCTATATAAGTGGCCGCTATGGTAACAGTAGACTTGCGTTTTGTAAATGGGTTGGACTTGGCGCATGCCATAACGCACCTCTGAAGGTTCTATCGGAACACAGGTCCCCAAATAATGCCCATGCCTTTTAGATCAAACGAGACCTTCCCCTTAGTGGAAAAATGGCATTAAGATGAGCTAATTGCGTGCAATTAAGGCTAAAATCGAGTGATAGATTTGGTAAGACACAAGGCTCAGCTCACGGGTGGGAGAGCAGGATAAAATAAAGTTTCGTCGGCTATACAGGGGTTTGTATAAATGGCATATCATGCCTTGGGCACTAGTGCTTTTGACTACGTTAAATCTATTTTTACAACACAGCCCCATTTTCACACGTTGCATGATCAAAGCCACGCCCTATTAAACCGCTGAATGATTGTCTAGATCGTTGTAACACTTTGTCTGTATGACCACCTGTATGACTGGTGGACACATTGTTAACTACCTTGCTTTTTTTGCGTGGGCCTGCCTTCTACCCAACATAAAGTCAAACTCCTCTCCGTTTGTTACAGTCCACTTTATTAGCCTAATTTGTCGCTTTTGTCATCCATTCCGAAGTCTCTAGACGCTACGACTATAGCATTCCAAAATTTATTACCATCCAACCGCTCCACATTTCAGAAGCCCTAAACATGGGATGCCATTGCCGAAATTGACATCACCTGTCGGTATTTTGATCTATTATAGCAGCGCTTTCCGTGAAGTCAGTCTTAGCCACAAACCAATCGCCCTCTTAAATTCAGATCATTGTGATAGGATTACATTTTTTTGACCATACTGTTCTACTTTAAGTAGCATGGAAACCTCTCATGAAACCCCGCTTGATGGCGTTAAAATTTACGTTTTGCTGCCGATTTTTATGAACCCGTCAAAGTAGACATCAGTACTTTGTGTAATTGTTTGATCATCTTCAGATGAACATTGAGCCTACTCGATGATTAACTTCTGTTCATTATGATCTAAGGTTAAAACTGGTCTGGAAGTTTTTGTTTTAACCTTGCATATGTCAAAAAAAAAAACAATTTTGGCAGCAGCACACCAAATTCTTTGCGACTCATACAGCCGTAAAATGTTTACTTACTTCTAGGCGGTCACGTAGGTACTCACCTGGAATAAATGTATGCATCTTTATCAAAGAGGGGATAATTGGGGCCATTTCCACAGTCCAGCGACCAATTCACGAGACGGCAATGATATAAAGTCAAAAATGAACACCAAACAAAGAGCAAAGTGCTGCACCTCCATTCACCCCTAGCCTTTCCAACTGTCCCAAGACCGGCATTGTTGACACTGGAAAGTGCAGCCAATTTCACAGAGCATCTCCTTCACACAAGGCAAAATCCCAGACCCAACAAAATTACCAATGAGAATGAGTAAATTCTCGACCATGACAATGCCTGGGTGTGTCCACCTCATGGGCGTTTTCTCTTGTCACCGAGTTGAGTTTGCGATGCCAATTTACTTGTGTAACTTGTTGAATGGGACTGATTTCTAGGACGTATCAATGACACCAACCTCAACGTCTGTTGACTGCATACCTTTTGCCACAGTTGCCATACTCTCCCTAGTCTACCGATGTTCCAGAAGCATACATGACAAAAGCGCAATACATGAATAGGAGGTCAAGTCGCAAAGCCTCACCTGTTTGCTAACATTCAAGGGCGACCAACTCTTCATCCATCCTACATCCGCTTGATGCAACGACTCCGAATCACCATTACAAGGTATGGAAAGATCGGTAGTAATCAAACCTTTAACAATCGACAAACTCGTTTGATGAAGTGCATTTTATGATTTAAAGTACATGCATTGACATCGCAGTGCTTGCATCAGGCGCATCACACTCAAACCCATGTCACAACATGTAACCATTTCTCCACCGAACCTCAGTGGTGATGGAAGTAAACGCCCATTTTCTACTGCTATCTTAGCAGCATTTATAAATCACGCAAGCGAGGCGACTCCACCATCGCCGCTCACAACCAGGAGACTAGAAATGTGGCTTGGAAGAGTACACATTGGTACTGCGTGCCACTTCATTCTATCCACACTTCTCACGAGTCATCGGACAAGAATAGGATTCCCGTAGAGCGTTTCTGACGTTTCATTGGCGTTCCTTCTGGTTGCCACACCACGGATAACAAAAACGCCGCAGCGCTAGATGTAGTTAAATTGTCATTAGTCTCTCCATTGCCAACAGCCATTGGAATCTAAAGGCGGACCCAGCTACGTGCTTCCACAAGCACATATCAAGAGCACGTCCCGTCACACATTAATCTCCACATCTGCCAGAGCGCTTCATTTACACACACGCAGGCAAAAAAAGCAGATTCACAAGTCACTTGACCATCAGGATCAGAGCACGGAGCTGGAACCTATCCCATCCCTACAGTGGGCTCTCCTAGCTTTGTGTGATTAAGGAGGTGCATTCACTGCCCTGTCACAAATTAATGCGAGGTTAGCCAAAATTCATGATACGGGCATTATACATGATGTAAAAAAAGGAAACTAGTAGATGGCACCACAGAGGTGCGCAGCCGAATTAAGATCACCCTTTTGAAACACATTCCTTGTTTCACGCACATAAATACGCCTACCCAAAGTATGAACCAAAATAGCTTTCTCAAACAATAACCCCATTCGGTTAAACTTATAATTCATCACGTGCTTCGAGAAATTAAAATAAACCACCATTATCAATGGTGAATAATTGATTCAAAATAACTTTTAGAGGGACGCCTTCAATGGGAAGGACACCTATCAAGAAGTCACTTGCAGGCTGCTTAAGGAATTGATCCCAACAATTGGAAAAAAACGCGGGTTCGAGATCATCTCAGCAAAATAGGCTTTGTTTACGTACCTATAATACTAATCCATACTCACCTCGTCTTAATGAGCCGGATATAAGGCAAAAATCTAAGATAGAGGACAATCTAATCCCCAAGTTAAACGGGAGAGAGAAGAGATTGAACTCAGTTTGGAATAATACTTCAATATCACGTAAAAGTCTCTAAAGTGGACCTTGGACTTCTCCTCTGAATCAATTGACAAGAGGGTCCTGAAAAAATTAAGCTCAAAAAGTGACAAACCAATTCATCCTAACGCCAAGAACGGTAAGAATAAGCCCAACAAACCGAGAAATACTAATTAGCGTCAAATCATGAGCACACAGAGCCCACCCATAAACCGGCAAACGCACAGATGCTGCCTAGCCATCAGGCACTTGTAACTTGGGGACACCAAGTCCCCACAAATATCATAAACCAAAGTCCATAGCATTGACTTGGATCGTTTAACTTGTTCACCCGTCTATGATATAATTAACGGATGAGAGTGATGTAAAGAAATGGAAGACATTCAACAATGCAAAATTATATATCGAGTGGCGCCTACGTTATTCACTGAAGAAATGCCTACCTTAAAATCTAGAAACAAGTAATCTAGTACAAACATTAGTACCAATCACCTAATGCTCCACCAAAGCTAAAATGAGTTGTCAATTATGGTAACGACATTCAGTAGGAGAAAAATAACGACTTAGAGGGTGTATTTACAATGGCATAAAAGCGCAATTTAGGAGCAGTACTACCTCACAATGATTTCAAGATGAAAGCTAAAAACTTAACAGAAATCATCACAGTAGACTCCCCGAGGTCGGGAGTTAGAGCATAGTAGCCAACTGACACCGGATTATGCGGAGGCAGAAATGAGGACGTTGGACGGGGAGGAATTAGACGGAACTGATTCGCGAGTTGGATACAACGAAGTTAAATTACTAAAAGCAACTTAGCAGCATGAGGAAGACTGGGGTTTAGCGTTGAGATTATGAACACGAGTGTTTGGAACCGCCGATCCCTGATCTCTAGGAACCTTCCTCAAAATAGATCTAGTAAGTTCCAAAAAGGCCGCCTCCACATTTGTTCCATTCATTGCGCTCGTTTCAAAATGTTTAACCTAAAATATGGCAACTTCAGGAGAAAGCATTACTTCGTATTTTTCGGCAACAGCAAGACCCTCCTCTTCGGACACCTGACGTTGATCAACCTTGTCACTCTTATTAGCCACAATAATTTTTTCGACTTCTTCTGAAGCTAAATTAGTAATGTTTGACATCCATTTCGAGATGTTTTCAAAAGATTTGCGGCAAGTAACCGAGTATACTAACATTATACCCATCGCGCCACGATAGTAAGATGCTGTTATGGTCTGAAAGCGTTCCTGACCAGCAGTGTCCCATATCTACAATTCATACAAAACATCCTCGGATCACTCACCTGCAATTTAATACGCTTCCCATCAATCTCAACAGTCTTTATCTTAAAATCAATACCTATTGTCGAGATAAAAGACGAGGAAAAGGAATCATCCACAAAGCGAAAGAGAATGCAAGTTTTGCCGACACCAGAGTCGCCAATTAACATCAGTTTAAATAGGAGATCGTAGGTCTTTTTGGCCATACCACTGCGCAAAAAATCAAACCTTAGAACAACTCAAATATCCTTCACTGAAAAATTCCCACAATACGCCTTATTTGAACGCCAACACCATGAACACTTAAAACAATTAAGATTCAAGTTTTAAATCGAGAGGAAATTCCCTATTAAAGTTAAAAATCTTTTACCTCGAAATACATAATTTTAGTTTTAACAAACCTGGTCATAGACATTTTAATGATGACACAATCTTATGCATTTTTTATCGCAACATCATCGCAAGCTGTCGTATTTTCAGCACACACCGAGTGAGCCAATGTTCTTTGAGTGAACTGGTCAAACAAGCTAAATTTTTGATGATTGAACCATTGCAGACTTAAATTTTTAGATGTACATTTTGGTCAATACATAAGGGCAAGAATTACTACGCAAAAGATGCCAAAAGTTTTCGACCATAAGCTTTGATTAAACCCTCACCAGTCAAAACCTTAATTTGTACACATTACATATGTAACTCAACTTCCATGCTTAATACCTTGTGTATGCAAGGACCCATTTTTTTATTTTTTGCCTCAGAATACATTATTTGTTTCCTTTCGGACTTCCATCGCAATGAGATTGTTTTACTGAATCCTTTGACAAGGTGGCTTATTACGTTTGCATGGGATGTCCATTCCCGGCACCCGTAAGTTTGGTCGCCAATATTTAAGTTGAACGCGTTCATTATGTTGTCACAGTTGTTTTACGGCTTTTCACTATAATGCTTCTTCTTAGTGGCCTTATCCAAGCCTGATGTTTTGGTATTATTGTGCGCAGCGGCTATTTTTTTGCCTTGAGGTGGGTTAAACCACACCTTGACGTAGCGCATCAATACAATCACACTGCCTACAACATGAGTGATCAGGCAATTGAAGCAGAAGTCATGCTTGTGAAATATCTTTTTGTATTACGTAGTTGTGGTTTCTACATTGTGGTTGTCTTATCTTTGCGTCATCCGTTGAAGTACTATTTTCAGATTATTCGGTCAAACAACTCCTCTTAGTACTTTCTTTTGTGGCTTGGGTCATTTGTCTGCTCTTGTGAATTTTTTTTGTGAATTTTGTTTTGTTGCTCTCATCGAAATGATGCTTTGCGTTGTGGTCTGAATTGTGGTTTTGTTCAGTACCTTTAACTTGTCGGATTTAAAACGTTCTGTTATCTGTTTAACTTTGTCGCATTTGTCAAAATGGATCAAAGTCTATTAATAATTGAGTTTGAATATTTTAGTCTCGTGAGAAGTATGCTACAAACCAGAGTGACTGGATGGTTTTATGATCTAGGAAGTGAAGGTAGTGTGAAAATCGTTTAACCTCATCTTTTATATCAATTCCTTCGTTGAAAAAAAGTGCTGCAGTTGTAGAATGAGTACTCGGAGGGACTTTTGCTTTTTGGGTAGTCATAGCTTTTGAGAGTTAACATTCATATTTTTTACTGCTTTTCTCCTACCAAGCTGGCTGGAACGATCCACCAGCGCTTGCTCTTGGCGTCTCCGACAGCGCGGCATCATCACGGCGCCTCCGTCCGCGAGTATTTCATTCTGTCGATGGCGTAGGGGCCGCCGGTTCCTCTGTGACAAGCGCAGTCCACCCCAGTTCTGGTCTAGTACCTCCAATCTTACCCCATGGCCCGCTACTCCCTGATGGGCAGCCCTTTGTGCCGCAAACATCGCTTCATGTTTCTCTGGCGTCCCAACAGCAGCAGGTGCCATCTTTGCAGCCACAGCAAAACTATGACACTGCCTCCACACTCTCTCGTCTGTCCGCCCAGGTTACTAAGGTTCTGGGAGATTCGTCTTTGGAGGTAGCATTTTCATGCTAAAATTTTCTTATTCGTTCTATTATCACTCAAACGGTGCGTTGTTTGACTTAAAGATCCCAGGGAAGAACGCAATTTTGGCCTCAATATCTTCTCTTCATTTGGACATCTCTCTAAATCGGCTATCGGCGGGCGCTAATGAGCTTGTGAAGCAATTCATTTCATGTATGTTTTATTTATTTCCCTGCGTCAGCTTTAAAAAAGTGAGTTTCTTATTGGATTTGTCTTCCGTTATAGTCCTTGAGGTTAAGGATTTCAAGCAAGCCGAGGACACTCTCAATGTAATTAAGCATCAATCAGAGGTATGCTTAGTGGTGCCTTATAGGCCAGAATTGTTAATTATTGTATCCTTTTGGTGATCGTGTATGAAATGTCTTAGATGGTGACCAAAAGTATCCGTGGTACTTATTTTGTTTTGTCGAGAAGCCTCATGAAGTGTTGTTTGGATATGTTTCGTAAAATTTATCGTGCCTGCTCCACTTGTCAAAAATGGATTCTTTGGTTATTTAAAAGACTAAAGAAGAATATGCGAAATTTCAGGGCGAATCGTAAAATAAATTACTTTAACTTAATCTGGGGAGGGAAAGTCATGGCACATCAACAAACCTGAAACCCTGTCCGCTGGGTGTTTCTCGCATAGTACAAGGCACATCACTCTAATATGATTTTCTGCCGACCGACTGAGTTGTAACGAACAGGGACTGCAAGTTTT